TGCCATCCCACTTATTGATTTTTTTGTTTGTTTCTTGAGTTTTAGGTGTCTTATTAAAGAAGTCAGCTCCTTACAACCACAGAATGAGAAGTTATACTCCATATATGTATAATTTGTCAAAATACACTCTACTCTCTTGAATATCTAAAAAGAACAAATAAAAACTAAAATAAATAAGAAGTTGGCTCCTGTGCCAGTATGGGGAGTGTTGACTCTGTGTTTTCTTCTAGGATTTTCACTGTTTCTGGCCTAATTCCTAGGTCTTGGATCCACTTTGAATTGATTTTTGAACAGGGTAAGAGGTGGGAATCTAGTTTCATTCTCCTACATGTGGATATCCATCCAGTTTTCCTGGCATCATTTCTTAAAAAGATTATCAAGTATTAGATGACAGTTTCTAAGTGGATTTGTCTCTGTGTCTTCCACTCTATTCCATTGGTCTTCATGTCTGTTTTGATACCAATACCATGCTGTTTTGGTTACCATGGCTCTGTAGTATAATGTGAGATCAGGTATTCTGATGCCTTCAGTCTCACTTTTGTTACACAGGATTGTTTTGATTATTCTGGATCTTTTATTTTTCCATATAAATTTTAGAATTTTTCTAGTACTGTGAAGAATATCATTGGTATTTTGATGGAGATTGCATTAAATCTGTAGATTGCTTTTGTTAATACCTATTCATGAACATGTGAACACGATAAGTCTTTCCATCTTCTAAGATCTATTTTTCTTCAGTGTTCTATAGTTTTCATTGTAGAGGTCTTTTACCTCAGTTAGACTTATTCCTAAGCTTTTTTGCTTTTCTTTCTTTCTTTCTTTTTTTAGGTTATTATGAATGAGGTAGTTTGGAAGATTTTTATTGGAGTAGAAGAAAGCTATTAAATTTTGTATGTTGATATTGTATTGTGCTACTTTGTTGACTTGTTTCTCAGATCTTGAAGTCTTCTGTTGTTTTTTTTCTGAGTCCTTATGGTATAGAATCGTGTCATTAACAAAAAGAGATAGTTTGACTTCTTCTTTTCTATTTGTGTCTTTTTAATTTCCTTCTCTTCTCTAGCTAGAATTTCAAGAACTACATTGAATAGAAGTACTGAGAGTGGACATCCTTTTTTTATTCCTGATTTTATAAGGAAATAATTTCAGTATGATGTTGGCTTTGGGTTTGTCATGTATAGCCTTTATGACGTTGAGATACATTCCTTCCCTCCCTAGTTTCTTCAGTGGTTTTTTAATAACATGAATGGGTCCTGAATGTTACCAAAGGTCTTCTACATCTATTGAGATGATCAAGTGATTTTTTTGTCTTTGATTCTATTTATGCAATGAATTACATTTATTGATTTAGGTATTTATTGAAATGAGATCTTTATATTTCAAGCATTTGTAGATTTTCCTGTTATTGTTCTGTTACTGATTTTTAATTTTACTCATTGTGGTTGGAAAACACAGTCTGTATGATTTTAATTATTTTTGTCTTATGATATTTATGACTCAAATATTGTCTATTTTGGTGTTTCTTGGCCACCTGAAAATAACATATATCCTTCTGTTGTTGGGTATATTTCTAAAACACTCTGTTAGTGACTGTTTCATAATTATCAGTAGATCTTTTTACTTTATGGTGTTGAGTTCTTGTATATAATCAAGGATTCTCTTTTTTTCTGTCAGTTGATGAGAAAGAGAGTTATTGAAATCTACAATTGTGGACTTATATAATTATCTTAATTTTTATTAATGTTTAGCCTCACACATTTTACAACTTTATATTTTGTTAAATTTTTTTTTAGTTGTAATTGGACACAAACCTTTATTTATTTATTTATTTTTATGTGCCTCATGTATGCTAGGCGAGTGCTCTATTGATGAGCCACAACCTCAGCCCACAACTTTGTATTTCTGATGCATAAAAATTAGAATCATATGTATTATTTGTGGGGTGATCCATTTATCATTATATAATGAACTTCTCTGGTAATTTTCTTTTATCAGAAAAACTACCTTATCTGATATGAATATAGTCATTCCTGATTTCTATCAAATTTTGCTTTATATATTTTTTCCATTATTTTGCTCTTAAACTGCCTATTCCATTATATTTAAAGTGATTTCTCATAGACAACATACCATTGTCCACTATGCTAGCCTGTGTCTTTTAATTAGATTAATTAGTTGATTAATTGGTTAATTAGATGATTTACATTTAATATACTTATTGATTTTTTGTTTCCTCCATTTTTTATTTTTCTGTTTTTCTTTACTTCCTATGTGTTACTTGAATGTTTTTAGAATTCCATTTTGATTTTTAAATAGCATTTTTAGTGTATCTTTTCATATAGCTCTTTTAGTGATTTTTTTAAATATCACATAATTTACATATAACTTCTCAAAGTCTATTTGTATCATAATTTTACAAGTATGAATAAAACATAAAAGTTTTGCTTCCTTTTACAACCTTTTACTTTATCCCAGTATGGTACATATCATAAATATATTTAGAACATCAGTTTTATAATTTTTCATTCATTTATCAAACAATTTAGAAAAGTCAAGAAAAATAAAGCCAATTACATTTAACCTTATTTTTACTTGCGATTTTCTTTCTTCCTTATTCCATACTTATGTTACTTTTTAAATTGTTTACCTTCCTTTAAATTGTTTTTAAATTGAAATCTTTCTTTAACCTTTAAAAGAGATCTTAGTTTCTCTTCATTTGAAAAGGTTTTAGCTTCCCTCCAGTCTCTCCCCCGTTCTTTAAAGATACTTCTGCTGGCTATAATTCTGGGATGACATTTCTCTTTAAGCCTTGAAAAATGTGTGCCACTGTCTTCCAGTCTCGATGGTTTTCTAGTGAGAAACCTGCTGTTAATCAAACTGTCTTTCCTGTAGAGGTAAAATGTCATTTTTCCCTCACTACTTTCAAGATTTTTCTTTGTTTTCAGAAGTTTGACTATAATGTGTTTTGATGTAGATTCATTTGGGCCTTTTTTGGTTCAGTAAACTTATTTAATCTGTAGTTTGTATCTTTGGGCAAAATTTTTGGCAAAATTTTCTGCCCATTCATTTTTTCCTCCTCCTTCCAAGGCTCTGGTGACATGAGAGTTAGCTGTTTAATTAAATTCCCAGAAGCCCCTGAAGCCATGCTTACTTTATGCAGTGTATTTTTTCTCTGCTGCTCAAATTGGGTAATGTCTATTGTTTTATCTTTCAGTTTACTGATTCTTTCTTCTATTCCTTCCATTCTGCTGTTAAGCCCATCTCTTACGGTTTGTTTTTAATTTTAGTTATTGTATTTCTAATTTCTAAGATTTTCATTTGGTTCTTTAAACCTTCTATTTCTTTGCTGAGAATTTGTTTCTTAGCTGGAGAGTTTTTATGTTTTTATTTGTTTCAAGCATGTTTGTAATCACTCATTAAAACTTTTTATGATGGATGATTTAAACTCTCTATCAGATAATTTTAATACATCCATTGTCTTGATGTTGGCATCTTTTTTTCCTATTCAGTTTCAGAACTTCCTGGTTTGAGGTACAATGGTGATTTTTAAAAATAATAACCTGGAAATTTAGGATATGATATAATACAACTCTGGAACTTACTTAAACCTGTTTTGGTTATCTTTGCTTGACACTACTCCAGCACATGAAACAGGTACAGCCTCAATATTACAAAGTGGAAGAGAAAGTACTGGCCTCTGTTGATAGGTGAAGGGGGCCTTTCCATTATAGCCAGTCAAGACTCATGCATGCCTTCTCTGTCACCTCCCTGACTTGAAAGGTTTGGAGTGCCTTGTTATTGCTGTCCACTTGGTCTTTCTCTCCACTTCCACTAAAAATCAGGAAGGCCCTCATTACCACCAAGGGGAATGAAAGTCATGGCTTCCTATTTGGCTTCTTGGATCCCACTCTCATGGGGAAATTGGGCTGCTTCACTATAGTCCAGATATCAAGATTCTATCTTGGTAGGCTGTCCCTTTCCTGGTCTTTTGACTAGAAATAGCAGGCTTTTGCTAAGGATTTGTTTGTTTGTTTGTTTATTGTCTGTGTTCATTGTTCTTCAGTTACAAGCCTGAGATTTATAAAGTAAAAGAAAAATCCAAGAACCCCACCACCATGTTGTTCTCTATCGCCACCTTCCCCCAGCCTTTCAGAGTCATCTTAGGTTTGTTTTCAATATAAAGCCCAATATTGTTATTTGTACTTAACAGCAAAGGTATATATACTTCACCTTCCCAGAAACAAAAGCTCATAATTGAAACTTTTAAAATCTAGAAAGTATCACTAAACTATTATTAATGATTACCATTGGAAATAAAAGTGGAATTTAAACAGGGAAGAGGGTTGAATAGACTACATACATTTCTGTATTGTTTTCATTTTTTTTTACAAAAATGATGTATTACTTTAATTTCTATTTTTTCCATTTTTAATTAAATTTTCCCAAAAAATTAGCACACAAACATGTGAACAGACAAATGTAAGACCAACAGCTTCCTTACTAAACAAATAGAACAGAGAATGAGTTGGCTTAAAATTTAATGTCTTTTTCCCATGACAAATTAATTGTAAAACCATCTCCTTACATTCATAATCATGTTTCTATGAAGATGCTTTTTAAAAGAGTGGTATGCAAGAATACAAGCTCTTAAACCCTACTTTAATCTACTTACCATAGTTAGCCACACGTTAGTTTTATCACCAAAGTACTAATAGAAATAGTTCAAAGCAATATGCATACGAATTTCATAGCACATACTTTTTTCCTAACAACAATACACATCCATGTAGATTCCTGATAACAATAGTATGACTAATACTAATACACTATAGTTAGTAATAATGCTAATAATGATTAAAAATCCTTTGAATAACCTGATGTGGATAAATTGCATCCACTCAGTAGTGGTGAGAGTGTTTTCTTTGTGGAAAAGACAACATCTACTGGCAAAACATGACATTGTGGGCTCAGATATAAAATTAGTTAAGAAAAAGTGCCTTTACCTGCCGTATCTTTAGATTTGTTTCTCCATCCAGATTGGCTGTTGCAACATAACACATTGACTGAGGTTCACTAAGAAAAGTAAAACAAATGTTACTGAATTAATGTCTCTTCATTAAATTGTTTTCCTAGGAATTGAAAGTTATGAAATTTTACCCACTGAAAGAACTACAAGTAGCTGTTTCCAGAAAATATTAGCAGACTGCTCCCACCAGCCTGCAATTCATCTTGTAGAATGGCTCACTATAAAAGATCTTATCCTTACAGTCTTGCATGACTGCTCTTTAACCTCACAAAGAGAAATTGCTGAGGATGAACAAATGTTATATAGTTCAGAACAGTCATATCTGAGGTCAAATCTAAAATTCTGTCATTTTCTAAAATGAGTCCACACAATTCCCAAAGACTCAAGCTTGATGACCTTTAGAATGAAGTTACATTTTCCAGACAAGTATGTACAGATTTGGGAGTGTTGAGACTAAAATTACATTTAAGGCTTGTTACTATTTAACCTCCACAGCCAGGAAACCAAGGCTTTGAACTAACAGACATTTGCCTTGCCATATTTTATCCCATGTCCCATGCCAACTCAACTTTTGAAAACTAATAATTTTGAAGGAAAAGCCACAAAGAATAACAAAAATGTTCCACTTAAGTTAATATTAAGTCTTAGAATCTGAATATATCATCTTTTGTTGTATCTCATTCAAATATCAGTTTTAAAATAAACTGTGCTGGTTTAACTAGCCAAGACCATTACGGTAGCTTCTCCCTTATCTGTGGTTTGCTTTCTGTGGTTTCAGTTTCCTGCAATCTCAAGATATTAAATGAAAAATTTCAGAAATAAACAATTCAAAAAGTAAACTGTCACTGTTCTGAGAAGCATGATAAAACCACTGCCCCACCTTCTCCATCCTGCTCAGTCTTGTCTGGGATGTGAATCAGCCCTTTGTCCAGCACATCCACACTGTATACACTACTCAACCATTAATAGCCATTTAGCTTATTAGATCAACCGTCACAGTATTGCTGTGTCTGTGGTCAAGTAATCCTTACAAAACCTAATGCTATGTCACAACGCCTACATCACTCACCTAACTTCATCTCATCATGCAGGCACTGCATCTTACCACATCATCATGAGAGGTGATGTACAAGATCTTTTGGAAGAGAGACCACATTCACATAATTTTTATTATGGCTTATTTTTATTATTGCCCTATTTTATTATTAGTTATAGTTGTTAATCTTCTGCTGGGCCTAATTTATAGAATTAAATTTTGCCTTAGGTATATATGTATAGAAAAATAACAGTACAAATAGGGTTCAGTACTATCTGAAGTTTCAGGCACCCATTGCATGTCTTGGAATGTAACCTCTGGATATGAATAAGGGTGACTGATGACCCCCCAAAATAATTAATAATACAGTCTAACATTAAAAATGTAGCTTCCTTAAGGATACCAGAGATGTGACAGAGTAAAAACCTCTAAAGTCCCTGTCCTCTGCACAAAAAGTTTAAAAACTGGCAAAAATTTTTCAGAATTAACCTTTTCAGAACTCTGAAAAAGCAGCCAAAGGCTTAAAGCAAGCCAGAAATATTTTATACAAGAAAGATTGCTAAATCTTGGCTAAAAAATAAATAAGTGAAAAGGAACTTTGTGATGTTTTGACTTGCCCAAGTCCCATCACCTGATTTCTAGCTCAATGGTAACTTGAAGAACAATGACTCACATTCCTGGTACTGAGGGAGTAAAACAGACTGGAGCTCTTTCAGAGTCTCACTTCCAAAAAGCCATTATTTGTTCAGTTTGATGGCTCTCTGAAAGACCCACCAGAAAGGCTTGAGTTAACTTGACCTCACTAGAGCTCACCCGTGTTAAAAATCCTCTTCCTAGTTAGGGAATCACCTGTCAGAATCTCCTCATGGAAGATTCCCCGGATTCTGTTCCTTGTCTCTCCTATTCCCTAGGCTCCACAAAATTGTAGTTCAAGGTATTCAGGGTCTGGCAGAATCCTTAAGGGAAAAGCCTATATTGACACAGGATTGCTCTTGAGAGGTTTTAGTATTTCAGTTCTTTCTGGGTCTCTGTTTTTCTTACTTTTCTGCCACCTCAAATAATATTTAGGCGATTGTGTGTCTTTGTTGTTTTAATAGGATCAGAAGAATCATTTAGGAAATGTGACATACAAAAGTACCAGGGAGGGAGGAAAAAATTGAGGAGTAATGATTTTAGTCTTGCCTTTCCCTGCTCCCCAAAAAATATTGATTCATTATTCATCAGTACTTTATCCAGAGCAAAGAAGCAAAGGAAGTCACACCAAAAAAAACTGACATCAGGGGATCCAACATGGCGGCGAGTGGGGAGGCAGCGCTTTCAGTACCTCCTCAACAACGGGGTCAGAGAGACGCATGGATACGCTTAGATTCGACCTGCTGAGAAACTCCTAGCAAAATTCCACTAAAGAGAGACCGGCCCGGAATTGGAAGGATTTTGGGAGGTGACAGTTTGCCCTAGACGAGTGAATCTCCGCCACGCAGCGCAGAGGTCCAGACCCGCCAGCCGCTGCCCGCGCGACTCGGCGACTGTCGGCTGCCTGCACGCGGCCCCCGCGTCAGGGCGGATAGCCTCCGAGGCGCAGCGCAGCAGGAGAGGTGCAGGGACTGTAGGAAGAGGTCTCTCGCCAAGCCTTCATGAAATAGCGAACCGGGAGCTGAAACCAACCAGAGACAGACCAGTCCCACCCCTCCCTTCAGACAAGGAGCCTGGGGCCCGCCATAGAAGAGTGGTGACATCACCAGAGTTCCGCCAACAGAATTCCTTCCCAGCGGAATCCACGTTAACAGGTGTGTGACTCCCACCCCCTCCAGATACAAGCAGCCAGGAAACCTCGGGAATCTCTCCGGGGGCGTGTCTGTAGGGAAGCAGAGGGGATTCCAGATCCCCACCTCCCCTTAACACCAGCAGCGACACCCAAGATCTTAGCCGCCAGTTTCTGGGGGCGTGCCCACCAAAGGGGTCCGGAAAAATTAAACTGTTGGTTCCCAGATCACCCCACCACAGCACTGGGGCTTAGATGAATGACAGAGAGGGTGTTCATCGTTCGGGATATAGGACACGCGGTGGGGCTGCAAGTGTAATCAGATCCTTGGGGAACCGCCTCTGGTGAACAGGACCTGGCTGGCTGGCTGGGAGGAGGAACAGGGGGAGGGGCCGGATAAGTGAAAGGGCTCTGGACTAACAGGATTGAGAGACTCCCAGGAGCCACCTTACAGGGATTTCTGTCAGCACATAGAGGGCAGAAGCTCGGCTCGGAGGGCACAGCTCCGCCTATTGGAAGAGAAGAAAATGGGATTCAGCCATAGAACAGGGGATGCCAGCATGGCAGAGATCTGATGTCATCGGAGAGCGGCCGAGGAGAAAACTTCATCGGTGCCAGTGGCGACGGAAACAGTTGGTCTCCTGGTAGGGAGGGTGAGTCACAGATACCCGAGTCTCTCTCGCTTTGTCGTAGAGCCAGAGGGGAGGAGCGGGGCCGCCGCCTGCGCCCACAAGGTAGGCAGACCTGCGACCAACCTGCAGATCAGGCCCAGCGGTCTGCGGGCGTGGTAGGAGGGGCAGGGCAGAGCCGCCGCCCGCGCCGGCAAGGTAAGCAGACCTGCGACAGACCTGCGGATCAGGCCCAGCGGCCTGCCAGCGTGGTACACACTTCACCCCAACTGGAGTAGGGGCAGAGCAGAGCCTTCGCCCGCGCCCAGATCAGGCCCAGCGGCTCACCTGTGTGGTGGTCAAGTGACCCCAATTGGAGTGGGGGCGGAGCGGAACTGACACCCGTGCCCGCAAGGTGGGCAGACCGGCAACCAACCTGAAGATCAGGCCCAGCGGTCCCCGGGCGTGGTAGGAGGGGCAGGACAGAGCCTTCGCCCCCACCTGCAAGGTAGGCAGACCTGCGACAGAACAGCAGATCAGGCCCAGGGGTCCGCGGGCGTGGTAGACACCTCACACCAATTGGAGGAGGGGCAGAGCAGAGCCCCCGCCCGCACCTGCAAGGGAGACTTTTCAACTATACAAGAGCAATATAAATATATAGGGGGGGAAATTTCAAAAACACAACAGTTTAACCAAGAAGAAAGAAACGCAAGCAGTATGAAAAGACAAGGAAAGAAAGGACTACAAGCAATGCAGGTCAACGCAACTTTAGAAGAGGTAACAGCTGCAGCAGATGGAATGTCAGATAAAGAATTCAGGATATATATGCTTCAGATGATCTGGAGTATCAAGGAAGGCATTAGACAGCAAAATCAGACAATGAAAGATCACTTCAACAATGAACTACACAAACAAATCCAGGAAGCAAAGGATCAACTATACAGGGAAATAGAGGTTATAAAAAACAAACAAACAGAAATCCTAGAAATGCAGGAAGCAATAAACCAACTTAAAAACTCAATTGAGAATACTACCAGCAGAGTAGAACACTTAGAAGATAGAACATCAGACAATGAAGACAAAGTATTTCAACTTGAAAAGAACATAGACAGCTCAGCAAGACTGTTAAGAAACCATGAGCAGAACATCCAAGAAATATGGGATAACATTAAGAGACCAAACTTAAGAGTCATTGGGATACAGGAAGGTATAGAACTCCATACCAAAGGAATGAGCAATTTATTCAATGAAATAATACGAGAAAACTTCCCAGACTTGAAGAATGAGACAGAATCCCAAATTCTAGAAGCCTACAGGATGCCGAATGTGCAAAATTATAAGAGATCCACACCTAGACACATTATAATGAAGATGCCCAACATACAGAATAAGGAGAGAATTTTAAAAGCTACAAGAGAAAGGAAGCAGATTACATTTAGGGGCAAGCCAATCAGGATAACAGCTGATCTTTCAACACAGACTCTGAAAGCTAGAAGATCCTGGAATAACATATTTCAAACACTGAAAGAAAATGGGTTCCAACCAAGAATTGTGTATCCAGCGAAATTAAGCTTCAGGATGGAAGATGAAATTAAAACCTTCCACGACAAACAAAAGTTAAAAGAATATGCAGCTAGAAAA